GGACCCCTAGCACACCCTTACGGTTTTGTTTATGGGAACTCACACGAGAACTTCCCAGTGGGTCACCCATCATGGGAGTGCTTTCGCGCGCTACTCGCTTAATTTCGAAGTTCCAACGGAATCCGAAGCCAGTGAGCTTTCAAAAGGCCTCGTGATAGGTAGAGATGAGAATATACATATAAGGATCACTCCCCTGGACGATGTGGGATGTCACATACAAGTTCAAAAATTACTCTACATTTTAAGCTGTTTTTTTTTAATATTTATAAGCACATATAATTGAATTAGGACGCCACACAACAATAAACAAATTTCATATAAATCATTGTTACTTGATGATTAAGATTATGGCACCATTAAATATCACATAGTTTTGCAAGAAAAAAAAGAGAATGTGGGAAATATGACAGGACCAAAACAATTGAGACTACAATTTAGGACACATTGTACCACATCTTTAAAAAATGGTGGAATTTACTTATAGTAGTGGGAAAAGAATCATTGCCAGATCATTTTCCTAAAGATCCTAGGGATTCCGTGATCAGGACCATCTATCGTACATCGTGTGGTCAGAAATCATTTTAAAATTTAAAATTAAATATAAAAAGTACATAACAAATACTGACCACATGATGTACGATGAACGGTCGCGATCACGCGATCCCTAGGATCCCTAGGAAAAGGATCCGGCGATCCTTTTCCATATTAGTGAACCCTACTTTTATTAAATAGTTTACAATGTAATTTACTAAAGTATAACCTCTCTAGCATGATAAGCCTATGAGTAATTTCCGGCAAGGATCCTTTTCCATATTAGTGAACCCTACTTTTATTAAACAGTTTACAATGTAATTTTATAAAGTACAGCATCTCTAGCATGATAAGCCTATGAGTAATTAGCGTTTGTAGACATCAAATGCTAATGAGAAAAAAAATAATCTAATTTCAACCTATCCACCTCTATTATAAAATTTAGGTTTCAATGCATATACTAATGATCAAAATTTAAATTTCAATTGTAGAATTGAACAAAATTAAATATCGGTAACAAAGCGATAACATAGCGATCAAAACTCAAAGAACTTAGGCCTTGAGTCTATCAATATTTATTAAATCCAAATGTTCTCAACTATTGGTCTAGTGGTAACTCGTCTTAATTTTTTACAAGCGAAAATTCTAGAGCACATCAACTTATAACATAAATTACAAAATTTAACGGTTAATATGTGTTCAAGAAATCAAAGAAATCTAATATGTATCATTTACGAATGTGGTCTACATGCGAAATTATCCTCAAAGATCATTGTTGGACGTCAATGATGGACAAAATCCACAAGTGCTTTGAATATGCTCGACAACGACTCTCAACTATGTACACTCATGAGCAGCCTTATAGAGAGAGAGTATCCTTGACATAATTCAAAGACGTAGTAAATAAAGTCTGCTTAGTAGACCTCCAAGAAATTATGGTTCCACCAACAATACCTATTTGGGATCTTGCCATGTGCGGATTGAATAAGTACCCAGCATCAACATAACCAACAAAGGGAACTCGAGAACTGGGTTGGGAGGGGGGGGATGACGGTTGCACTCGAAGTTGAGTAGGGATAGGACAAGTCCAAGTCCACAGTACCATTAAGATAGCATAGAATTTCTTTAACCCCTTTCAATGTCTGCGTGTTGGCACATGATTGTGTCATGCTAAGAGATTCATAATGCATGAGATGTTAGGTCTTTTACACTGAGATAAGTACAACAAAGCACCAATTGCACTTAAGTATGGAACCTCGGGTTATAAAACCTCTTCATTATCTATCTTTGGACGGTATAGGTCTCATTGTGCATCAAGCGTACAGATGACCATGAGATGACTCAAGGGCAACGTTATCATTAAAGCAATGTAACACCGTCTTGGTGTAGTTTGACTGATGGACCAGAATGTTGGATTGTGAACTACCTTAGTACATATTTGCAGAAGTGTGGCGGGTGGCGGGTGGCGTAAGCATAAATAATCATTTTAACATGCATGTTAGCAGAATGTTGGATTCTGTTTAATTATATTAAATTAATTTATGTATTGGTTATGTTCAGGTATAATAAAATTAAGGACACATGTATAAACTTAGAGTAAGTTTTAGAATTCTCACCTTTAGATTTCATAGGCGGACAAATTCAATGTTGTTGAGGCTCCCAAGTGTTAGCCCTATACCAGTATCTACATGAATAAATCTCCGGGTAGTGAAGCAAGAAGACGACGATCTGCTAGAACTTTATCCATCAGGTAGGTGTTGCAGCAAAGGGATTTGGTATAGTGTTTTGTTTTTCAGTTCTCTAAATTGGAAAACCTAATTCTTTTCTCTCTAATTTCTATTTCCACTTTGTGAATTCTCACACTATGTTATATAGAGCCCTTAGGCTTATAAAGAGAACAATCTCTAATTAAACCAATAGGATTACAAATTAATTGTCCACCACAAATGTGTGTCGCATGCCCTAGGGAAATTTTTGAGAAACTTTTGGGTTCACTAGTCTGTATCACGTTACTTGCTCGTCTCAAGAAGAGATTCTTTCACGTCACCAGTTTACCACACTACAATTTTGAATTTATTAGATGTATAATACAATTTGTTTAACAAATGACCAACTTTACAAATATTTTTGTGAAGTGATTTCACACATATTTTTTTAGCTTTTTACACACCCATGTTTAATTTTGGATGTTGATTCCGTTTGATTGATTCAATCTGGTGGCCATAAATAAAGAGAGGGTTGTGAGAAACTAAAAATGGTTTGTGCAAATCCATGACACTACTGAGCATGAATTTTAGTTAGGTGAAAAAAGACCTTACACCTTGTACAAGTGGGAGGATGTGGCATGAGTGCCTTTATTTAAGGATGATGAATGCTAAGGTGACTCTCAAAAGTAGGACTCTCTGTCACCTTAGAGCTAGTTTAACGTCAATTCATTCATGTGCCAGCATTATAAGACTAATGCTAGGAAGACTAAATTTGTAGACAAAATGACATGGAAGTTGATGATTAGATTATTACTTAAGCGTTGATAAATGTGTTCATTTCATATTGGTGACACATTATTTAGTTTGTAAATTTTGTTTACAAATTTAGTCTCCCTAGCATTACCTGCATTATAAAGCATTGTGCCAAATATATGAGGTGACAAGGTGTCCATAGAGAGTCTCTTTTGTATTTCTCTTCAAGAATTTATCCTCATTCTCCCCGATTAATTATTTCACCAAAAATGTTTTCTAAATGCTCACTTATCAGGATTAAGTCCCTGTTTGGTATTGTTTTTTTTTTTTTCATCAAAAGTTGCTTCACTTTAAAGTTAAGCAGTAAAAATGTGTTTGGTGAAAATAAATTATTTTGCTTATATTAAAAGTAATGCATGGCCTCCAGACAACAGCTTTTAAAAGCAATATGTAGGTAAAACTGCTTTAATAAAAAGTAGAGTTGAGCATTTAATGAATATTTTTAATTCCTATAATACATTCCATAAATTTTTCTTTTAAAAAATAACATTATTTATTCTTGTAGGCACATTTTATCATTGGAGAACAAAGTGACCACCACTATAAACCTTAACCTCTTACACCACCATTGCCATGATCACCATCACTGTTGCCACCATCACCACACTACAATTGCGTCACGACCACCACTACCATTGCCATTGTTACCACCATGCCACCACCGCCGCCGTCACCGCCACAGCCATAAACACAACCGCCACCACTGCTACCATAACCGCCACCATTGCTATTGTTGCCACTCCTACCACCAATGTTGCCTTTGTGGCCCAACAACCACACCCCTTTATTGGCACCACCACCACCACCATCACAACCCCTTGCCCTTATCACCGTTGTCATCGTCACCACCAACATTGTTACGTCTATTTTTGTCATTATATACAATTATAAAATATCAAATGCTTTTACACTATTTTTCATACTCACAAGACTTTTAAAAATACAGTTCATTAAACACTCAACTACTTTATTTTGTAGTAGATTATTCTTAAAGCACACCAGAAGCAGCTTTTAAAGCACACCAGAAGCAGCTTTTTTAAAAAGCACATCAATCTCAAATGGCCGTAAGATTATGAGTTTTGTAATTGAGGTAAATATATTATGTATTACACCAAAACGATTTTAAATAATTTGTAATAAGATGATGCAGAAGAAGAGCAGAAATGTGACACATAAAATTAAACCAAAGCAAATGATTTTCTTGGGTTTTAACACCCATATATTTTTTTGTTGGCTTATCATTTTCACCAAGCTCCACCTCATCAATACTTAAAGAAATGATTTATGTTCCGATTCAGAAACCAAAATCCGCTTCATCAATACTTAAATAATTTGATGCATTACTTTTGTTTCCTTTTGAAGGCCCAAACAAGAAACAAGGCAACACTAGACAAAGACAACTGCTATATAATGGGTGTTTTAGAAACTCAAAAGCTTCAATTTGTTTTGAGAATCAATTTGTTTGTAATAATGCTAGGGAGATTAAATTTTTTAAACCAAATTGCAAATCAAATGATGGGTCACCAATTTTAACTTCCTCTTTTACTGTTATACAAGCGAAAACGAGAGAGATTTAATATGAGTAAAGGTATACTTTACTTCTTGAGATACAAGTTTATTGTTATAATTTAGCAAGGTTTCTTCTAAGGATCTTGGCTTTCTTTATCTGTAAAGAAGTTGGGTTTTTGGTTGTTTAATTATTTTAAAATTGCAAGATAAAAAGGGATACAAAGGAGAAGAGACATATATATATGTTTTTTTGTCTCTTATCAGTTAGGGTTTCTACAATGCGTGTCGGATTCTTTACCTATGTAAGTTTTTATTTGTCAGATTAGTCACGAAGGCTCACTGTCAAATTAAATGAAAAGTAATGAAAATAGAAAACATAAAACAAAATATCGAAGTTGACTGCTAGTAGGATGAATTAGTTGAATATCAGAGTGCACAATGAACAAGACTACACAATAATAAAAATATTATTAAATAAACAAAAACATCGAAATGGCTATATAACACTAAGAAGCTACATTGTGACTAACTTATTCATGATTGAATAACAAGCATGTTATATATAATAAACTAACCCTAACTCTAAAATGTAAGAAACCAAAACCCTAATGCTAATGGGCTAAGCCCAAAAAACCAAACATTAAAGTAAACCTAAATACTAATGTTTTCCAACACCTCCCGGCAAACTCATGGCAGTATACGACATGAGTTTGTAAACAAGCAGTTGCGGACTGGCTCTGTTAGGCGGACATACAGGCAGACTCCTCAACGTGGACAGACAAGCAAGCTCCGCAATGCGGCCAGAAGAAAGCAACAATCCCAAAAATGATTCCAAAAATCAAACCGATAATATAGATTGCAAGCTTTCCTTGTGAATCAAGATAACACCCGAACATACATGACCAGAAGGTAGAAGCAAATATCTCTCACAAAGTCCGATTTGTGAACTCGAATGCGCCTTTTGCGCATTGAAATGCTTAAGATTCCAACCACAGCACACGACACAAAGGAAGCACCGCCCAAAACTATATTAAGACCAATTTCGCCCGTCCCGCCACCCATAGACAAAACAAGACTGGAAAACACATCAGGGGCTCCATTGCCAAGAGAAAGCAGAGTTACCCTAGCATTGTAGGGGACAATTTTAACAACCTAGATAAACTATCAAGTGAAGAACAAAAGTACTCAGAAGCTGTGTTCCCCAACACATAGAACAAAACCAGAAGCCAAAGAAACTTACAGCAATAACCCAATTGAGGAAAAGTTCCAAAATTGCAGTAGAAAATGTTAAGGTAGTTTATATAGCCTTGGGAGACAAATGTGTTGCTGGATTTAAGGTAAAAGCACTTAGCTTTGTAGTCATCTAAAATAAGAAAACCCTTGCAATCTAGTGAATCAGAAAATTTGGAAACCCCAGAAGTGCTTATCTCAGAAGTGCTTCGAACCAAAAAGTCTGAAGCATGGGAATGTACAACCAAGAAAGCGCATCCCACTAACAGAAACGAGATGTTCAAGAAAATGACGTAATTTTTGTACTTTGGTAAGAAAACTAAGGTACCCATTAGGGAAATTTAATCTAATTTAAAATTAATAAAAAAAAGTACAGAAATTGATTGAAATTGAATCCACCTTTATGATTGTGCTCCAGAGCAATTGGAGAAGATCACGAAAATCCAAAAAGTAGGGTAGAAATTGAATGGATGGAGGATTTTGGAGTTCGGTAAAGCTTAAGGATTAAGGTTGCTTGCTGCTTTTCTCGTTGAGAGAAGTGTAAGAGACAGAGCTTCCCTCCTGAGTTTCCACTTTGTAGGAATATTGTTAATTTATCAAATGTAAGGGCATGGATCATGGATGCTGACAATATTGAGGACACGTGTCGAATGATGGTGTCGTTGGGGGCCATTACCGTCCAAGAAAAAGCAGTTTCCACGGCGTTCAAGCGGAAAAAACTACACGTGGGAATTTTGTGGACGTTGGCTGTCACAGTGAGTTTAGCATCTGATCTGTGAGTGCAAAGAGAATCCACGTTATATACAGATTTGCTCACATCTATCGATTGACCAAAAAAAAAAAAGAAAAAAAAAAAAGAAAAAAAATCCTTCAACATCAATCCGTCCCTCCTTGCCGATGTGCTTTACATTTTTCAAATGAGGATCCTCTTCAAATCGTTTTTGTAAGGATCTTGAGAATCATCCAATTATATCCATTTATCGTATATCGTGCGATCAGAAACTATTGTAAATTTTTTTATTTAAAATTGAATATAAATAGTAATTAACAAAAACTGATCACACGATGTATGATGAACAGATGTAATTAGAAGATCCTCGAACTCTTCACAAAAAGGATCCTCATTCACATTTTTCTATCTATCTTCATTGTTTGACTTTTTTTTTAATGCTGTGGCATATATTCGTCACAAAAGGCTTAAGCAGTAGCAAAAATACAAAAAGCTGAGAATAGATTCCAGCACAATTACATGCTGCAATCAGTGCTTTACATATGTACATTATTTATTTGTAGATCACATTCTATCTGTCTTCATTATTTGACTAATTTTTTTTTTTTTGAAGCTGTGGCATATATTCGTCACAAGGTTTAAGCAGTAGCAAAAATACAAAAAGCTGAGAATAGATTCCAGCACAATTACATACTGCAATCAGTGCTTTACATATCTACATTATTTGTTTGTAGATCACATTCTCACATTCTTTGAGATATTTTTGGACTAGTCTCTCTTAAGTCACTCATTCCTCTGAAAAAAGAGATTCAATCGCATCACTAGTTTATCACACTACAATCATGAACTTATTGAATGGATAACAACAACAACAAAGTCTTTTTCTAATAAGTGGAGTCGGTTATATAAACTTAAACGTTACTGCGCTCAGTTTTGTACAAAATTTATTAGATGTATACACAATGTGTTTAATACATGACCAAATTTACAAATATTTTTGGAAAGTAAGATTCACACATATTTTTTAGCTTTTGACACATTCATGTTTAATTTTGGTCACTAATTATGTATAATTTATTTAATCTAATAGTCATAAATAAAAATAATCGAGTAAAAACTAAAAAAAAGTGAAAAAAAATCTGTGAAGCTACTGCGCCTGGATTTTAATTACAATAGAAAGTCCCTCCGCCTCGTACAAGTAGGACTGTAGGAGGATGTGACATGATTGCTTTTATTCAATCCCCATTCTTCTCCCCCACTTGACCATTGGACATTCTTCTCCCCCGCTTGACCATTTCATCAACAATGTTGTCTAAATGCTTTTGATTCCTTTTTCAATTTGATGCTAGGACCAAACAAGAAACAAAGCAACACTAGACAAAAATAACTGTCGTACAATAGCAAGATAAAAAGGGTTACAAAGGGGAATATACATCATACATACAAGAAGAAATACTTTGAATACTACTTTATATTATTCATCATCTAGGGTTTACAACTATATAGGCACACATACCTTATTCTACAAGGAAAGTAATTACAAGGGATAAGGAAACTAAATCCTAAAGATTACATATCCTAATCCTACCTAAAATAGGATTCCAATAACATTTACAATAAGACTTAAATCAACACTCCCCTTCAAGTTGGTGCATCGATATCATAGATGCCCAACTTGATAATTAAATCTTGGAAAACCTTACTAGATACTGCATGAGTAAGAACATCAGTAACTACTCTCCTGAACTCACAAACGGTATAGACACAATCTTCCTTTCAAGATTTTCCTTGATAAAGTGTCGATCAACCTCCACATGCTTTGTTCGATCATGTTGTACCAGATTATCAGCTATTTCCCTTGCAGATATATTATCACAATATAGCCTCCTTTGGTTCAAAACCAAGACATCTCAAAAGTTTACGTAACCAAAGAAGTTCACATATTCCATGGGCCATACCTTTATACTCAGCTTTTGCAGACAATCTTGACACCACTTTTTGCTTCTTACTACGCCACGTAACCAAATTAACTCCAACAAATGTAAAATACCTAGATGTAAATCGTCTGTTAGTAACATTGCCAGCTCATCTGCATCTATAAACCCCTCAGTCTTTAGATGTCCATGATTTCCATAAAGCGTTCATTTACCAGGTGCAGACTTTAGATATGGGAAAATTCGCATTACCACAACCATGTAATCTTCATTGGGTGAGTGCATAAACTGACTTACAACACTCATAACATACTTAATATCAGGACGAGTATGAGATAAATAAATTAACCTCCTTACAAGTCTTTGATATCTACCCCTATCAACAGGAACCTGATCTGGGTAAATACCCAAGTGATGCTTCTCTACCATAGGAGTATCCATAGGTTTACACCTTAACATACCAGTCTCTTTCAACAAATCTAACATATATTTTGGTTGGGATAAGAAAATTCCTTTAGGTGAACGAGCAACCTCAACTCCAAGGAAGTACTTCAATTCTCCCAAATCTTTCATCTCAAATTCAAATGCAAGTTTTACCTGTAACTTCTGAATTTCTTCAAAATCATCCCCTGTAATAATCATATCATCCACATAAATGATTAAAGCAGTCAATTTGCCAAGTTTACGCTTCAGAAACAGAGTGTGATCTAAATGACTCTGGCTATATCCATATTCTTAATTACTTGAGTAAACCTATCAAACCAAGCACGGGGTGATTGCTTGAGCCCATAAAAACATTTACGCAATCTGCACACTCCTGTATTACCACTCGTACTATATCCTGGTGGAAAGACCATGTACACTTCCTCTTCTAAGTTCCCATGAAGGAACGCATTCTTCACATCAAACTGTTTAAGAGGCCAATCTATATTTCCAGCTAAGGAAATCAAAACACGCAGCGTATTCATCTTTGCTACCGAAGAAAAGGTTTCTTGGTAATCTACACCACACGTTTGAGTATACCCATTAACCACTAACTTTGCTTTGTACCTATCCACTAATCCATCAACCTTATACTTGATCGTAAACACCCAACGATAGCCAACAAGTTTCTTCCCTTTTGGTAACTGCACTATCTCCGAGGCTTTATTCTTTTGCAATGTTGACATTTCTTCATCCATCGCTTGTGTCCACTTAGGGTATTGGAGGGCTTCTTCTACCTAAATTGGAATTTTGATTGATTCCATATGATTTACCAATGCCCTACGTTCTGGTGAACAACGCTCACATGATACATAATTAGCAATCGGATACTTGACCTTCCCTTCCGGAAAGAACCTGTCATCTGGCACACCACCGATTCTGTCTTGCTGGCAATTTATAAGTGCTTACACCAATATCAGGATTAGTTGTACTATCATTTAAAAAACTTACCTCTTTTTACCAAAAAAAAAAAAAAAAAAAAAAAAAAAAAAAAAAAACTTACCTCTTAGATATTCAGAGAAGATGGAACGGGCATTGTAGGATTAGAGAGAGATGGGGTACTTCGAACATACTGGGCACTTTGGCAGACTCTTGTTGAACTGAGTTGTACTATTCGATGGGAGCCTACAGAACTAGACTATTTTCTTCAATTGTAGTTTGCTGAACTTGGCTACTGGGTTTGGAAAACTCCTGCAGAACAATTGGGCGGATTTCCACAACTTCTCTTTCTCCCCCTGAAGTATATTCCAACCAACTTAGATCACCAATATCACTAATCTCCCCCTGGTGATTTGAATTGGATATAGATGAAGTATACAAATATTTAGACTCCGAGAAAGTCACATCCATGGTTACAAACGTACGTTGACTAGCAGGATGATAACACTTGAGTCCTTTCTAATGCGGAGAAAATCCAAGAAAGACACAACGGTATGCACATGGATCAAGCTTACTATGATGAGCTTTCTGAATGTGAACATAGATCACACAACCAAAGATCCAAGGTGACAAAGTATTTGTAGAAACCACTAAAACAAGTTGAGTAAGTTCCTGAAGTGGTGTTTGATAATTCAAGACCCGAGACGGCATACGATTCATAACATAAACTGCATGTACAACTGCTTCAGGCCAGAAGCATTTAGGAACAAATGCACCAATAAGCAAAATGCGAGCTGTCTCCAGGATATGACGATTTTTCCTTTCCACCACCCCATTTTGTTGTGGGGTATTCAGACAGGTAGTTTCATGAACAATTCCACGATCTTGTAGAAACTGAGATAACTTAGAATTTATGTACTATCCACAATTGTCAGAACGCAAAACTTTAATATCAGATGAATATTGAGTTTTAACCATCTGAAGAAACAAATGAAACACATTATATACCTCACTTTTATTTTTTAGCACATACAACCACGTCATACGGGTTCAGTCATCCACGAAAGTAATAAACCACTTAATTCCCAAAGTAGTACTAACAGGGGAAGGCCCCCACACATCAGAATGTACTATTGTAAACGAAGAAGATCTTCTATACATATTTGAAGGGAATGAAACACAATGACTTTTGGCTAAAATACATACTTCACACTTCAATTCTCATCACGTGGCAGTACAGTATAGGCCCGCTCCCTGGCTTTGATACCATTGAACAAATTAGGTAACATATGCTTCAAAAAACCAAACAATGCATGCCCCAAACAATGATGCAACAACAATACCTGCAATAGATTACTATCACGAGACACACGAACCAAATTAGCTCTTCCAGGAACCACGTTATCCACATAATATAGCCCCTCTCACTTAGTGCCACGCCCAATGATATTCTTTGTTTGAATATCCTGAAGCAAGCAAAATAAAGGATACATTAGTACAACACAATCCAATTGTTCAATGACTTGTGATAT